GACTATTCGGTCTATTGTAGTGATTTTGTGATGAATTATACGTGTTTCTTCGTTCTGGTGATCTTCCTCTATAACTTGAGTTATATGGAGATTGATTTCTTGTATAGCTTGTATTGTTCGGGAGTGGTTTTCCTGAACTGTTGTTGCTGTATACATTTTTGTTTGGTAGATTTTGATCTTTTTTCATGTATTGATAAAATGATTTATTTGGTTCTTTGTATTTTTGAGGTTTATTTTGACTATCTTGCTGTTTTTGTCTACATTCGGAAATACTATGTCCGTATCGTCGGCAATAATTACACCATTTCTTGAAAGATGGTTTGCCTTTAAAGTTCGGGTTCTTTTCGTAAATATTGAGTATTTCAGTGATTTTTTCAACGAGATCTGTTTCTGATTCTTGTATATTATTAATATTAGTGGGAGTCGTTTCAATTTTGTTAACGTATTGTAATTTCAAATTCTCCGTTTCTTCTAGTTTCATCGTGATTTCTGCTTGTTCTAGTTTGTCTACTAGTTTTCTAAAATCTAAATCGGGTTCTCGAATTGAAGAAGGATGGGATGCTCTCTTTTTTATTGCTATTTTCCTTAATTGTGGTGTTAAGGTCATCATTAAGATTTCTGTCATCTTAGTGTTTTTATAGTCGTGTGTATTTAGTGAATATGCTTTTCGAACTAGTGTTTCGATTCTTACTGCTATTTGCTTGATGGTTTCGTTTGGTAATCTGCGAATTTCATTACATAAAACTCTTTGTTGTTGTTTGTTTCTTTCGGAGTCAAACATTTTTGAAAATTCTTGTGTAAATCTTTTCCAGTTTGATTTTATTTCTTGAGGTAGTACTGAAAACCATTTTTGGGCTGCGCCATCTAAGGTTGTTTGTATCAACGCTGTGCGTCGATGTATCCAGTTTTGATGTAGTGGCGTATTAATTGGTTCAGGTCCTATATTTAAAATTAAATTTGCTGTTACTGCATTTAAATAATCTTCTACAGAGTATTCAGGGTCTGTTCCTGTGAAAACCATTAAAGGTTTGTTTGATGTTATTGATGATCCACCCATAAGGTATGGATTCATTGTCATTTGTAATGATTCTGCTGCATTTGGCATTTGAGAAAAATTTGAAAGTTGGTTTCTTGTTATTTCATGTTGTTGAAGATAATACGGGAGTGGTATTTCATTTTGCATTTGTGATGGTTGATACGAGTGTGTAGTCATTGGATTTTGTTGTTGAATTGGTTGAAAAGATTGTGTATTAATTGGATTTTGTTGTTGAATTGGTTGTTGATATTGTGCATCTATTGATTGTGGAGAAAAATTTCTATGATTTGTACGTGTTTTCTGTATTCCTTGTCTACGATATTCTTGAGTATTTGGTGCAAATATATCTGGTTGTAAGAAATCTTCATCTGAGGATAAATAATCCATTTGATAAGATGTTTGTTTTTTATTTTTATTTTGTTGAAAAAATGGGTAATTTCCACTGCGATCCTGTGGAGGATTTGGTTGAAAATTTGTGGAATTATATTGGGCCGTTGGGTTATCCCAGTTTCGAGGTTTTGTATATTGATTAAAATTTCTTTGTGGTTGATAATTTGTTTTTGATGGATGTGTATAATTATAATTATGGTCTGCAAAGTTGTTTCTAGTGAATGTTTTGCGTGTTTTTGATGGTATTGTCATGGGTTTGTATGTTTGGTAATCCATATGTGAATATTTAGGGGCAACCGAAGGTTTAACGGTTGATTGTAAGGTTACCTGTGTTTGTGAAGGATTTGTATTTCTTGGTGTTGTTAAATTTGGGCGTATTGGTGAAATACTTTGTTGTGTAGTTGTTGTGTGTACAATTTCTTCATTTATGAAGTGTGATGGTGTCTGGATATCTTGTTGAGTAAGATTCCTAGTTCCATTGAGGTTTTCATTGTGTATGACTGTAGAGTTTAAACTATTATTTTGTGTATCGGGTAAAAATGTATTATAGTTTAATGGTGTTGCATCAATTGTTAATGGTATTACTCTTACATAATCTCTTATGTAAGATATTGTACCTATTGCTTGACTTGAGATTGATTGTGGAAAGTTTATAAATGCGGAATGAGACCATTCGGGGTCCCAAACATAATCTGATTGTTCTGTGATAGCGGTATCATCGTTCGAATTTTGGGGTCTAAAATTTTTTCTTGCTTGTGCAATTAAATCAATATTGTGTGTAAAATAATCTATTATGAACCATGCTAAAATTTTTTGTAAATCGTGTTTGGTATGTTGTGAAACGTCGTCTTTCGTGAAATTTTCTTTAATGATGTTTAAATAACTAGAGAGTAGTGTGATTTCATGTCGTACTCTTAAATGTTTAGATGTTTCTGTCGGTGAGACATTTGTTATTGGGATTTCGTTTTCTAATATCGAAATATAACTATATATTATTGCGAAAACTTCATTGGTGAATATGGAGTTTGCTCTTTGTGAGTTATGATATTGGATGCTTTTTATATATTCTGAAAAAACTTTTGAAAATTCTAAATCAAGGTCGTCTGTTTGAATTGTATATTTTCTATTATTATGGTTTGGGGAAGTGAATTCTATAGAGTAGATTCCATACTGTTGTGTTATGTTGCATATATCTTTTAGATAGTGATCTATGATTTGTCTTTTGATTTTTACATCGGGGAACTCTGTTTTACATGGACTGATTCCGGGTTCAAATAAATTTACGAGTAAATTTTGACAAAATATGTGTTGTCCTCTATCAGTATCTGCATCTACTATAAAAGGAAAGATTTCATCATCATCTGGAGTTTCGTCACCTGGGGTGTGCGTTGAACTCATTTTTTCGTTCGATGACTGTTAATATGTAATTATTAATGTGTCGAATTGGTTGATTCCAATTGTATAGATGTACTGGTTTGTGTTTATACTGCTTTTTTATTCTTCTTTTTCCTCTTTGTGATGAATTTGAAGTTGTTTCTGAGTCAGAAAAATATAATTGATCGTGTTGTGGGCAATTTTTATCTATTGATTCTTTTAGTTTGTAAAGTTCGTCTAAACTGTTGGTTTCTGATTCTGAAAATGCGTTTCGATTTTTTGAAAATCTTTTTCGTGTTATTTGTCTTTGTTTAGTTATTATTTTTCTCTTTAGTGTTTGTCGTTTTGTTCGAATGTATCCAATTGTTTGTGTATGAGGTGTGATTACAAGGTCGTATTTTTTGTTATCTATTTCACAATTGTGTAAAATGATTGTTTGTTTATTTCCTAGGTTTTTAAATGACATAAGGTTTAGAATGACGGATGCAAAAGGTTGTTAAATGATTTCTATTGACTTAAACTGTTAGTTCTTACGATTTTTTGGTTAGCTTAACCTGGGTCTAGTTGTTCAGGGTTGGAGAGAAAAGTATATCGATTCCGAAGAATGATTTTTACTTTCTCGTGACTAGTATAAGCTAAGGTGTTAACTTACTTAATCTTACTTAGGGGTAGTGATTGTGTTCAAGGGTTGGAGAATAGTAAATCGATCCACAAGGTTCAGGTATAATTAGAACGCGAGTAGTTCGTTAGATACTATTTTAAACTTACTAAGTCTAAGATTTATCCTGGGTCTGGTAAGAGGAGGGGTCAAGTGAAGGATGAATAACCGAAGTTCTTCACTGTTTATCCTAATTTGAATGATTAGTTTTGTTTAAAAATTTCTATTAGTCTTGGGTTTTTAGAAAGGGTTGGGTAGTGAATCGACGTTTGAGGTCGTTAGACACTAATTAAGTGGGTGGGGGAGAACAAAGTTGTTCTGTTTGATCCAAGGATAAGCCTTGATGATCAAATTTAAAATTTAATTAAGTAGAAAATGATTTAAGATCCAAGGATAAGCCTTGATGATCTGATTTTAAATTAAGTGACTTTAAATTTTAATAAAGTTTTAAATTTGTGTAAAGGAAAGATTTAGTGTTTTGATGATATTAGTGGGTTTATGATTGCTGTTATGTTTTAGGTGATGAAGCTGGAACAACAGGATGATTTATGATTACTGACCATTTATTGTCATGCTACTAATTTTTATTTTTATTTTCCAATAAACATTCTTCAAACATGTTTTGTATAATACTGCAGAATTTTAGGAAAACGATCTTAGATCTTTTTATCAATCGTTATTGTATAATATTAATTTGTTTAGCGCCTGAAATGATTTTGAAGATTTACTTCAAGGTTTTATGTTTGCAAATGGAAATCTAAATTCATTGCAAGTAGTATTCGAAATATAAAAGTTTGTTCTGGCTTTTGCCGAACTATCATATAACTATACGGCAAGTTTCTACTTTGTCGTATGTCGTCTTTGGTTCGATGTCTTCTTCCAATTCCGGGTAGTTCTATTATGGTTCGGAATATTGGCTCTGATCTATTGAGTCGGAGAGACATTTCAATTAAATTATTGTCGTATAACATTTTGTAAATGTTTTTGTCTAATTTCTAATCTAATTTTGGTTAATTCTAATCTAGTAAGGTCTTGTTCGAGACTTATGGTCGCACCAGATGAGTTAGGACTGGGGTGTATAACTCATAGAGTAATTTCGGATAGGGTACACCGTCTGCTCGTCACGCTATCTTATTTTCGGCCGGATAGATTCGTGCAACTTCTTAGTCTAATACCGATCCTAATCTTACTCTTATACTATCTAGTCTCAGGTTGTTTAACTAGTCTCTGCTAGGCTCAATAGATCTAGGGTATACTGGTATATTGCGGCTGCTGAAGTGCTCGGGAGAGTCCAACTAATTTCTAAGTTAAATTCAAATCTCTCTGGTGCTGAAATTACAAGTAACTTCAGCACTTACAAATAAGTGGGTTGTTAGTTAGATGGATCATGATTGGTTAATATTAAATACTTTACATTGGTAAAACATTTAATTTATCCAATCATAAAATATAGTTTAGATCAGGTTCCATACCCCTCCCCATTACGACTTTTAGTTGGTGTTATCTTGATCTAGATTGCATGATGAATTTCTTTTCAGACACTCAATGATAAACTCAGCGAACTGTGGCGTGAAGCAGGGAACATATTACTCAGTTCTGCTGTATGGGTCTGTCATTTTGGGATCAGGGATGTCCATTGCAATCGTTACAGCATGCACCGCCGTCATCATCTACGAAATCAAGCTTCAGCAACGCAGGTAGACATTATGTCAATAAAAACAAATTAATTGCATTCTTATATTTCAGTTTGTTGAAACACATCAATAAAGACGACGAGAATGTTGAATATAAAGATATGTAAACACAAAAATTGATTTTGAGCAACAGAATAAAAAGAGTGGGTTCTTGGTTCACTGGTGATGGTTCTTCCCCGGGTTGACGTCCATACAGGAAAAACACCAAAATACACCAATTATTTAATTTCATAAATAGACTTTATGGAAAAATGCTTATCGTACAACTTTCATTGAGGAAAATTGAATGACAAGCGTTTTTTCAATCGAGAGTATTTTCGAAAATTACCTTAAACTGGTTTAAAACTCAAACAAAACAATTTAATTGCAGTTTTCGCTACATGAAGGCAATTTTGGCAACAAAAGAAATTGAAAGTTGTATGATATGCATTTTTCCATAGAAGAAATACAAATTTAAGATAACATTTTTTAAATCCCTTTTTCGTTGCTTATTTTGCTTCTGCGCTCGAATATACATTTAACGAAAACAAAATTGCGTGCAAATTTTGACTTTGTGTTTCTATAACGAAGTCCAGGTTGAGTTTTTTACCCATAAAACTCAAAAATCACAAGCAAGTGTTTATAAACCCAGTTTTTTTTTATGCTAAAAAACAAGCCTCTTTTCTCAACCAACGAATTTTCTAGCCATATACAAAAAGTTACGTTTTTGGTATCTTAATCTGTGTAAAATTGTTAACGTTAACTTATAAGGCTAGGCTAATATCAGCAATTGCAGTTTAACTGCGTGGTAACAGCCTTTTACACTCTTCTGTGTTTTCTGATGGCAGAAATCCTTGTTTAGTGTCCTTTGAATGAAACATAAAGTTTTAAAACAGAAGATTTTGTATTATCAATTCTGTAAGAAAAGCTTGTCATAATTTTTATTGATAGAAAAAAACGCTTTTCGTACAATTGCTAGTATCAATTTTCGAAAAATTTTTATGCAATTTTCCTAAAATTTTTGTGATTAAAAGTATGGCAAAAAGCTTGTTATTTATTTCCAAAATCTGGCAAAAATTGCTTTCATACTATTTTTTGGTTTATGAAAAAGTATGAAGTAGTATAATAAGCAATTTCTTAAAAGTATGAAACTGTATGATAGGCAGTTTTGTCAACCCGGGTTTCCATTTCCTCACCAAAAATGCAGTTGGAAAATTGCCGCGATTCCAATAAACACGACCTTTTTTATTTGTGATTTGAGAGTTGATTTCAGGATATCTAATCGCCATGTCAACGAAGATTTTGGGAATAATATATAACCAGTCACCAAATATGAAATATGAGTTTTTTGCCCAATTAGGCCGCATCAAAAAAACTCACCGTCTGTTTTTGGTAACATAATACGAACGCCTTCTCAGCTGTGATTCGTTTTCTTTAAAGATGTTTACATGCACTACACACCGATATTGAGTCATCTTTAGATACACCCAGCGACTGAATCAAATACAGAGCATTGCTATTCCGGAAACAAGTGACCAGAATAACACTTCAGTCCGATCAACCAACGGCAACACACTAGAAGCTGTTCACACAAGACAGAGAGTTGACACACCGACTGCGACTGCCAACGGAAGACGAACTATGTCGGTGAAGGGATCTATGAGTCATCAGAATGAGCAGCTGACTGAACTTCGGAACTTGTCTGCGAGTATATCAGTCATCTTTGTGGTTCTCTGCGGAACTTCCCAGGCACTCTCGATCTATAGCCACAGTACGTTTTTTTTTACAATACTTTATATTTTCTTAGACCACGTAAATTTTCAAAAGCTCAACGGTTAGATTGATCCCATGCACGTTGGTAGTGTATTGTTTTCCCTTCGAGGGTCGGGTGTGGGGTTTGGCTTTATTCGGGCGTTTGTTAAAAAGATGAGACGTTTATTTTTCTTTTGTTGGTTATCAATATCAAGGTAGACAAAAAAGGTAGACAAAATTTTGGAACTGATTTTGACAAAATATTTTTTTTTTCAATCTTCTTCTTCGGGCATTTGATTTACAGTTTGAAAATCCACGAGCCTCAAATTTATCATCCTAAACCAACATTAATGCTCCGTTGGAATGCTTACAATGTCGTTTATTTTATGAAAATGTCAAAAAAGGGACAGAATAGGTTCAGACCAAGTGATTTATCAAAAAAGGGACGAGATAGTTCACTTGGTTAAAAGTAATATATTTAGCCAATCAGCTTTGAGCATAATAGATGTAGGCCTTACTGATTGAATTTGCCGTTTAATTTTAGGGGTGAGATTGTTCACTTGGGCCATGGGCTCAACCATTAAACTAATTTATCTCTTTTACCGGAGATCTCCTTTTTTGTTTTAGTGTCAACAAACATGTACGTATTTAAAGTTTATTGACAAAATTATCAAAAAACCAGGAGTCAAAACCTGCTTGCTGTCTGTAGTCACATTGATTTGTAAAATAGTTCATCTGCTCATTTGTTGATCATGATTACTTGTGTTCACATTGATATTTTATTGCACTATTTGACTACCCATACTGTTCGTTAAAAAATATATTTTTTGAGCTACTATACCCCCTAGTAGCTACACTACTAATTTCATGATGTCGGATCAGAATCGAACTTATATCCTCCTCCTATTTTAGGTTCCAATGTTTCAGCCTCTTAAGCATAGTAGCTCTGAAATAATTTCATAAAAAGGTTAAGTTTATCGTGTCCAAATTTGATACTTTAGAACGGAAAAAAATTTGGTGACATCAAAAATACTCTTAAAATTTCTTGTTGTTGGAAAACTTTTTTTGACCTTTTTGATGTCTATTTTGTGTGTTTGTTTTATTGAAGATTTTATGTGCACGGGCACAAGTCTTAAATTGCTTGTCAATTTTTGTTTGCACCTAATCTAGTTTATTGTTCCGAGTTTTGACTAAAGGATGAAATGTTTGTGCTCGTAATTCCGTATGGTTTTATCTTCTAGAGGTTTTAAGGTCTTGAGATCCAAATTTTATAATTTTTTTACCTGTGATCATTTTTAAAAATTATAGGGGTTGAAAAAAAGTGCAACTTTGGGGCATTTGGCACAATAAACGCACGACGAATTTTGTTATTTCAACGCGTAAGCGGCGATTTAATCTGAAGTGAGCTTTTTTCTATTTTCTTTTGTGAAATTAAATCGTTTTAATTTTTTGTAAACATAAGCAAAAAACTATTGGATAGACCTTATTTGTGAGGATCATTATGGGCTTCGCCTTGATGTAAGAGCAGTCCAACCATACATGCTAGGGGTGTTTTTTTTCTTATTTCAGTCGCTTTTCGACTGTTTAGTTATGCGTTTTTGAAAAAAAATTTTATGCCATCTAAAAGATATTGTTATCTGAAGCTCAAATAAAGAAGGATGTTTTAACTGCAATGAATTTTGACTAACCTATAATGGTTTGAATATGAGAATACTTCGACGATTATAATTCAAACTGCGATAATTAACGCGCTAAATATTGCGTTCTATTAAAGCCTAAGCGGCAAAACAAATCCTTTCAAATTGAACGCTTATCAATACGCTACCACACGTAAAACTTATCACTTTAAACATCAAATAGTTTAGAGGTGATAAAAAAGAAAAAAAATTAACAAAAAAAATTGTGATCGACAATAAAGCGCAGTTGGATAATTCAGTCTTCTTTCAGTATAAAATTGAAGATTAAATAGAATGGTAAAAAACATATTCATCTTTGCATATTGTCAATTTCCATAAAATTTGTTGTCCAAAAATGAACACAATTATTCTAGTGATGACCTCAGGCACGATAGATATTTTTTAAGGAAAAACGGGTGTGTATTCTTGGCTTGATTTTTCAAACTCTTTTTCATCCTCAAACAGCCTAGTATAACATCTTAGCTAACAAAAATCAAAAGTGGAATCTTTCCTTTAATACGGCTCAAAAATTATCAAATAATTAATTCAAAATCTGTTCGTTTTGAAAACCCAAGTTTCTTTTCGCTAATATAAGTCTCAACCAATCAAATTATGCATTAAGATCTTTTATTGAAGACAGCAAGACTTATAATATGCCTGATAATATTATATTATCCCGGGTTGAACTCCGTAGAAAAAAATGCTAATCATATAATTCCATAAATTAATTCTATATAAACTACTAATCATACCAATTTCATACATTTTGCTAAAATGGTGTCATCGAAATTCAAAGAAATTTTCCCTTGTTTTGACATAAATTTCGCTGTATCGTACTAAAAAAATGAGAAAAACTTTTTGTAAAAAAAAACGCTCACCATACCAATTCCATACATGGAAGTTGATTGACTAGCTTTTTTTGATGGCGACAGCAAAAATTTTTCCAAGTATTTTTGAAATTGCCCCAAAATTGTTTTTTTTTTTTTTCAACCGTAAATCAAATTTTGCTCTCAAACCATCATTTTCCAAAAAAATGTTTTTTTTTGCCGTTTCTCTGCTGAAATGTTTTTCAAAAACGCTAAAAAATCCTATTTCTTTTGTATGGCATGTTTATTTATGCCTTGATCAAAATTTGATAATTTAAAATCAGATTTTGCCAAAAGTTATTTGTTTGATGCTTTCAGTATATGATTTGTATAAGAAACAACAAAGATACATGTGTGTGAATTGTAAATGCGAGACAATCATTTACATCTTTGGTGACTCAAGTTTTGAGTAAACAATGGTTTTTGTCACTTGTCTTCGGTCACAAAGACATCCCAAAAATTTTGAAAAATTAAACTTGAAAAAGCCAGTTTTTTTTTTGGTTTATGGAAAAATGCTAGTCATACAACTACCATATAAGAAAAATCACTAATCACAGACCTTTCATGCAATTTTTTGTACTTATGGAATTGCATGAAAAGTTTATGATTAGCTTTTTTTAATATATGAAAACTGTGTGATTAGCATTTTTGGTCAACCCGGGATAATATGCTGAGCCGTGTAATTGCAAAAAAGACCCAAAAATGCCAGTTGAAAAAGTTGATAACAAAAAATCATAAACAAGTTTCAGGCGCTTTTCATCGATTGAACTTTATTTTAGTGACGTTAAACACGTAATAGCAGATGCCTTGGACGAATTTTTGAATGTATGCAACAGCTCAATCAATTTCTTCCTCTACTGCTTCAGCAGCCCCAAGTTCAGAAAAGAATTGAACAGAATGCTCTCAAGATGGAAACAGAACATAATTGGACCATGTTGCAACAATCAATCAGCTGCCACAGCAAACACCAATTCCCAAATTGAAGAAACAATTTGTGCATAACATAGTATTTCAAATATGTAAACTTACACCAGCAAAAATTTAAAAACTTCGATATTTTTCTTTTCGTTTTTAATCGACAGAGATAGATTGTGCATATCAAAGTTCATATCAAATACAATCATTTGCAATAATTGTTCCGATAGCCATATTTTGAGAAAAAATTTCAAAAGTAGTTGCTTCTGAAATTCATAAGAGTTCAAATTTACATTTTGATAGTTTTAATTCATGAATAAAAATCAGATACAACAAAAATTAGAATCTTAGACCGTTTTTTAAAAAAACAATCCAACCATTTGGTTTTTGCTTGACTACAACTTAAGAAAAAAAATATTTTTCATTAATAATTCTTGTGATTCACAGAGGTAGTCAATTCCTGCTTGGGGTCTGACACTGAAAAGACTGAAAAAACTTAAAAATATGTGGTCTCAGACTGAAAAAGTTTACTCAAATTACACAGAATGACATAAATTTCGCTGTATCGTACTAAAAAAATGAGAAAAACTTTTTGTAAAAAAAAACGCTCACCATACCAATTCCATACATGGAAGTTGATTGACTAGCTTTTTTTTGATGGCGACAGCCAGTGAGAACTGCTAAAAAGCAATTCTCGACAAAAAAATGAATATGAGGAAACACTGATGAAAATCCGAGGCCAGAAAGCCACCGTTGCGGATATTTATCTGAAATTGATCAAATTTATTTACTCTTTGTTGAACGAAAACAGTAACTCGAGCTTCAATAGACAAAAAATCAAAATGAACAGTATTTTTTAGCATGCAACGCGGCTCATTGTATTGACCGGTCGAAAAATGCGACTTGAGAAAAAACCGACTTGGCCCCAGTTTGGCAAATTGTGACTGGCGCGAACTCATATTGACAATTCCAGACTGTTTAGGTCAAAACTTGGCTGTTCAAGACCGGCGCGACTAAAAAAAGAACAAAATACCGCCGCGACGTAAAAACCGGCGCTACATACGAAAACTTTACGTTTTTTTCATGTGTTTTTTGTCGCGCCGCCAGTCTTTTCTCAAAATGCGCGCCAGTCTTTTAATGAGTGGCGCCGCGCTGCCAATATTTTCTCAAGTCGAGAGCCAGTCTTTTCTTGACTGGCGCCGCACCGCCAATCTTTTCTCAAGTCGCGCGCCAGTCTTTTTTTGAGTGGCGCCACGCCGGCGATCTTTTCTCAAGTCGCGCTCCAGTCCCTTCTTGAGTGGCGCCGTGTCGCCAATCTTTTCTCAAGTCGCGCGGCAGTCTTTTATTGAGTCGCCAGTTTTTTTTAAGTTGCGCCGCCAGTTTTTCTTTAGGTCGCGCCGCCAGTTTTTCCTGAAGTCAATTGAGCAATTAGTGATTTCTATTCCATTGTCAATGAGAGCTCGGGATCTGTTATTAACATTCAAGGTAACATAGTTAGTGATATCTACCAACTTGTTGTCGATGATATTTTTTTGAGTCGGAGGAAAAATCAAATTTCATAA